GCACAAGGGGACAGCTTGTCCGCAGACAGGTCGCGAACAAACGCCCGAGATCCCCAGACCCGGAACGCTGACGCATCGCCAACCTTCCCCGTCCACAGCAGGGCTGGGGAGGTCTCCGGTCGAGAGACCCTGTTGTGGAGGTTGATCTGGTGCGCAGCGTACCTGACCGCAAACGGCCACAGAAAATGGGGAGCAGCCGCATGCATCATGGACGTACGAGCGACGTCCATGACCATGCCAATGCGGCGCTCAGCAATCCCATTCTGCTGTGGTGAGTCCGGAAGCGTGAAGGTCTGACGGATGCCTCGCACACGACAGTAGGCACTCAGGAGGCCGGAGGTGAACTCTCCGCCTCTGTCCGAGTGCAGACGCAAAACAGGGAAGTCAGAGCCAAAGCTCCTCCGAAGCTGGAGACGAGCTGCGCGGATCCAGTCGATCAACACCTCAGTGACCTCACCCTTGCTGCGCAAGGGGAAGACTGTGGTGTAACGCGAGTAGTCGTCAACCACCAGCAGGAAGTAGCGCTCCTGACCCTGTCCACGGACGCGGGCTGGGCCCCACACGTCCATGTGAAGCGTCTGCAACGGGGCCTCTGTGGGAGGAAACTGGGAGGAGTGAGGGGCAGCACGCTGGCGCCCCTCGACACAGGGGACACAGGTGGGGCCAGGGCCCGGAGGAAGGGGAGGGAGAGACCGGGGAAGACCAGACACAAGGACTCGCGAGGCCATGCCTCTGAGCCGAAGCAGAGAGGGGTGGCCAAGGCGGTGGTGCCAGAGGAGGGTCTCGTGAGACAGACGACGACACGAGCAGGGGGCAGACTCAGGACCAGACCTGGACGTTGCAGCAAACACCTGACCAGACGAAGGGACCCTACCAGACTCAGCACCTGGAGGAGAAGCAGTGGTCAGTGTGTACAGGCTCGACCCTGGCCGACGTGTAAACGTAGCCAGGTGGCGACCTGTATCCTCCTCCGTGCAGTGGGTCACCCGCTGACGAGCAGGGGTGAACTGGTGGACACCCGCATCCTGGAGGTCAGCACCACTCACCAAGTTCGTCGAGAACGAGGGGAGGTAGAGACCAGTCAGGGTGCCAGAGGGGGCCGCCGGACACGGGAGGATAGTGGAGAAGCGAGCCAGGACAGGCCCCCCAGAGGGGTCAGCCAGGGACACTGCAACCGGCCGACTCAGCGGCGTGAGAGTGGTGCGGTCCCTAAAGAAGGAGCGAGACGCTCCAGAGTCAAGGGTGAAGGTGTGAGAGGCCGAAGCCGACACAGTACCTGAGAGGGCAGACTCACCAGCACCTGAGAGCACAGACGCACTGGCACCTAGAGCAGGAGCCTCACTAGTACCTGACGCGGCAGTACCAATGCCCGGGTCGGGCGGGAAACACCGGTAACAGTCATCCTCATCACTACCAGTCACAGCATACGTAGCAGCGAGAATAGCATCAAAATCAAGATCATAAATAGCTACACCAGCCCTAGACAGCTCTCCCCAGCGGGGGATCTCAGCGGCCTCCGGAAACTGCTGACGCCAGGCGTCGGTCAGGCGGCCTAAGCAGCGGCGGGCTGTGTGGGCGCCTCCACACCTCTCCCCTGCACGGTCACCGGTGCGAAGAACGTAGGGGCAGGGACCAGGCGCACCACCACGCTGACGCTGCAAGTACCACTCACGGAGCTGCTGAGGGGCGGGGACGGTGCGAGAGCGCTGCTGCTGCTGTGGCTGCTGCTGCGGCTGCTGCTGCTGCTGCTGCTGGCGCTGACCACCCCCAGAGCTGCTCCGCTGGGACGAGCCACTCCGACCCCCGCCTCCACCGCCACCCCCGCCTCCACCGCCACCCCCGTCTCCACCGCCACCTCCCCCACCAGGACCGTCGCTCCCACCGCTCCCACCGCCTCCTCCGCTACCACCTCCGCCGCCACCTCCGCCTCCACCGCCGCCACCAGTACCTCCACTCCCGCCACCACCCCCACCGCCACCCCCACTCCCCCCGCCACCCCCACCGCCTCCTCCACCGCCCCCTCTAGCTCCACCCGCTCCCTTGCCCCCCTTGCCCTTGCCAGAGCGGCGTCTGCCGCTGGGGGCAGACGCCGCGCCGACCGACTCAAAACCGGTGAGGTCGGCCGCAGCGGCAGAGGCGACAGAGGGCAGCAGGGGGGAAGGACCACACCCCTCAAAGATGGGGGTGCGAGGGTCACCCCGAGAGGCCCCTACAGCGACAATACTCTTCTCAGCCGCTAGCAGGGACTCCTCAAGGAGGTCGACAGTGAGAGTGGTGGGACAGACAGAGAGAAACTGGTCCCTAACGACACGAAGGGACTCAGGGAGACGGGTGACGAGAAAGTAGAGAGTGATGTACATGGGAGGAGGGTTCGCAGCGCGGAACTCAGCAGGAAGGGCAGCGCGATAGCGGGTGTCACTAGCACGGAGGTGGGTAACGAGGTCAGCGACAGTGGGAAAGGAAGCGAGGTCAGGGAAGAGAAACGGTAGCATGAGGCGGCTAAGGGTAGCGGAGGAGGGGGAGGAGTAGCGTGCAACTACAGCGTCGTACAAGGCCTGAGCGGTCTTGCACTGACTAAAGTGGGCACGCTCAGAGGAAGGGAGGTGGCGACGCACAGCAAGACGTGCAGCAGCATCGCGGGTCGCCCACTTGGAGCGAACGGCAGGGTCAGCATCAGCAGGTGGGGCAGGGACAGCGCCAGAGACAAAGTCAAAGAGAGAGACCTCATCGATCGCATCACACAGTAAGTACAGCTGCAGGTCTTCAATCCAGACGGCAAAGTCAATGGCCCTCCCCTCAGCGTCAAAAGTAAGAACATTGGGGGTGGCCATGGCAGCAGCTGAAAGTCTCACCGGGCTGGGAGAGTCGGGTAGGTCAGCAGCAGAGGAACACAGCTCAGGAGCAGCAGCACAGCTCCTCAGGCGGCTCGGGCGGCTCGGGCGGCTCGGGCGGCTCGGGCGGCTCGGGCGGTTCGGGCGGCTCGGGCGGCTCGGGCGGCTCGGGCGGCTCGGGCGGCTCGGGCGGCTCGGGCGGCTCGCGCGGCTCGGGTGGCGTAGGGGCTCACGGGCGGCGCGGGCTGTTGGGGCTGCTCACGTGCAGCACGGCGGGCTGCAGCAGGGGCCGCGGGGAGGGTTGTAGTGGGGCCGACGGCGGGCCGACGGCGGGCTGTAGCGGGGCCGGGGCGGGCTGTAGCAGGGCCGGCGGCGGGCTGTAGCAGGGGCCGGTGGCGGGCAGTAGCGGGGCCGGCGGCGGGCCGACGGCGGGCTGTAGCGGGGCCGGGGCGGGCTGTAGCAGGGCCGGCGGCGGGCCGGTGGCGGGCTATAGCGGGGCCGGCGGCGGGCTGTAGTAGGGCCGGCGGCGGGCTGTAGGTGGGCCGGCGGCGGGCTGTAGCTGGGCCGGCGGCGGGCTGCAGCAGGGGCCGGTGCGGGCGGTAGCGGGGCCAACGGCGGGCCGTAGTGGGGCCTAGGCGGACCGGTGGGGCCTAAGCGGGGCCAACGCGGGGCCGACGGGGCCTAAGCAGGGCCAACGCGGGGCCGACGGGGTATAGGCGGGGCCGACGCGGGGCCAAAGCGGGGCCGAAGCGGGGCCGACGGGCCTAAGCGGGGCTACGCGGGGCCGAAGCGGGGCCGACGGGCCTGAGCGGGGCTACGCGGGGCCGACGAGGGGACTAAGCGGGGCCGACGTGGGGCCTAAGCGGGGCCGACGTGGGGCCGACGTGAGGCCTAAGCGGGAGCGCGACGAGGAGGGCGACACGGAGGGTCGCTAAAAAAAAATGCGCGCCTCGGGGCGCGCTTCGGTGGGCCCTAGGAACAGGCCCTAAGAAGGGACCTGCTCTGATTCCATGAGAAAGTGTGAACGAGAATGAATTGAGTATGAAGGAAGTGAGTACAAATAGGAAACCCTACTTGTGTTGTACCCCCTATGGGATACCCCACTATAGCCTACACAAACAAGTAAGCTATATGTTCTGACACCCGGCGGTTCCGACGACAACTACACTCGACAATCCGGTCCCGCGTTCCCAGACTTTCGTGACGGAACTTCAGGAAGTCCGCAAAAAAACCGCCGACGCAATTCGCAAAGCGAATATTACTTCCCGCAAATACACCAACCTTCTTCGCCGGGAACTCGTCTTGACTACTGGGCAACTAGTCCTCCTCGACACGAAAAACTTGAACCTGCCCGGCCCTGCGAAACTTCGGCCACGATTTTGCGGACCGTTCAAAATTCTCAAGATGGTGACACCTGTCACCGCGAAGCTGTTGCTACCCGACGATTGGCATATACATGACGCGTTCCACATCAGCCTTCTTCGGAAGTTCGTGCCTACCACGACCGACATCGCACGTCAACAAGCAGCCCCGACAGCTCGCCCCGTCCCGGAGCCAACCCTTGACCCTTCCAAGATTCTCGCTCATCGGGTCCGCCTTGACGCCGCTGGACGCCACGTGGATTTCTTAATTCGATGGACCGACCGCACCAGTGAGGACGACACGTGGGTGCCATCCGCTTCACTGGACGCCTCGACGCTTGTTGGTGATTATCTGGCGCGACGGCGTGTTTCGGCTATTGACTACCTTTCTTAAGGGGGGGGGGGGTGGTGTAAGGAATTTTCCCGAATTCCTTATCGGGGTTGACTGCTTGCCGTACAACCCGATTTTCGGAGTTCGCACGTTCGGCCGATTTCAACGCTGCCGAGGCTCCTCACGTCGCCTTCGGCTTTCCCATCGCCAAACCTGCACCCAACCTCGCTCGTCCGAGGTTTCCTCCTAGCTAGAGTGGTCCTACATTAGTCTGTGCATTCATTGTATTCGCAGTTGATTCAGTCACAGCTTCGTTATTCGTTTACCTGCGCACTCTCTTTTACAACTCATAACACCGGGGGACTTTTGCCCCGAGTGTGCACACCTTTCTGAAAGTTGTAATTCAGGTCGACAAACTTTGCGTAGTTCCTAGTGGACTGGTAGTGACGCCCATAGCTTAGAAGCTAGACACCTCGCATGTCGCCACCTGTGATCGCTTTACCGCGAAATTTGCTCCCACCATTCTTCGCATCCTCTATTCCTCCCGGAGTTACGATCCGTCGCCCTAGCTTTCCGAAAGCCTGAGTCGAACTTTTGGGTCGCGTCGCGGGCCACGCTCACCCCGTAGCTTAGGGTCACCGCCCTCTGCGACGAAATCGCTTCTGGTCGTAGCTGCGCCGCCCTCTCTGCCCATCCCATCGCGTTTTGCGTCGCTGAGTTCTGTTCAATTTACAGAGCGGCATCGCGGCCAAACTGCATCGTCCGCACTCACTCCCCTTCCGTCGCAAACGCTTAGTCCCTCCTGTCGCCCACGCGGAATCCCCTAGAACAAGCGCGCTCATTCCCTTCCGTCGCCCACGCTCACTCCCCTTCCATCGTATACGCGCACACCCCTCCGTCGCCCACGCTCACTCCCTCCCGTCGCCCACGCTCACTCCCTCCCGTCGCCCACGCTCACTCCCTCCCGTCGCCCACTCTCACTCCCTCCCGTCGCCCACGCTCCCTCCCTTCCCGTCGCCCACGCTCCCTCCCTTCCCGTCGCCCACGCTCCCTCCCTTCCCGTCGCCCACGCTCCCTCCCTTCCCGTCGCCCACGCTCCCTCCCTTCCCGTCGCCCACGCTCCCTCCCTTCCCGTCGCCCACGCTCCCTCCCTTCCCGTCGCCCGCGCTCCCTCCCTTCCCGTCGCCCGCGCTCCCTCCCCATCCCTCACCTCCCCATCCATGCTGCGGTTGCTGTAAATGATGCGGAAACCTGCCCTATGTCCCCCTCCCCGCGTCACCATCCCCGCCTCTCCCCCGTCAACCCCACCCCATCCCATGCCACTAGAGACGGGGTGGACGCGGGGCAGAGGAGTGTGGGCGTGCAACCTGCCCCAACACCGCTGTCACGGGCTCGTCGTCTAGCTGAGTCGGGGGCGCCGTGACGTCGTGAGAGGCACCATCTCCGCCTCACCCTAATCCGCCCAACCCCATTCCGCCCCACCCCATTCCGCCTCACCCCATTCCGCCTCACCCCATTCCGCCTCACCCCATTCCGCCTCACCCCATTCCGCCTCACCCCATTCCGCCTCACCCCATTCCGCCTCACCCCATTCCCCCTCACCCTCTTCCGCCCCACCCTCTTCCGCCCCACCCCATTCCTCCCCACCCCATTCCGCCTCACCCCATTCTCCCTCACCCGATTCCGCCTCACTCCATTCCCCCTCACCCTATTCCGCCCCACCCCATCCCCCTCATCCTACCAGCAGTCATGTCTCGGGTCCTCCTCTCCCTCTTCCCCCTCCTCTCATTCCTTACTCTACCCCCCCTCCTCTCCCTGGAGGGAGCGGCAGTGGCAGCTTTCCCCCATCGCACACGCGCACTCCCCTCCGACTCCCACGCTCTCTCCCCTCCGACGCCCACGCTCTCTCCCCTCTCGTCACACACGTGCGCTCTCTCCTCTCCTCCCCGTCCATCATCACGCCATCCCTCATCTCCCCATCCCTCATCTCCCCATCCCTCATCTCCCCATCTCTCATCTCCCCATCCCTCAACTCCCCATCCCTCATCTCCCCATCCCTCAACTCCCCATCCCTCATCTCCCCATCCCTCATCTCCCCATCCCTCAACTCCCCATCCCTCAACTCCCCATCCCTCATCTCCCCATCCCTCACCTCTCCGGTCTTCCTCTCCCTCTCCCCTCTCCTCTCAATTCAACTCCCTGCTCCCTCTCCTCTCCCTCCTCCCTTTTCACTCGCCCCGCCACTCCCGCCGTGCTTCTCCCCCCCCCCCATTCCGCTTCGCCCCATTCCGCCCCATCCCATTCCGCCTCACCCCATTCCGCCTCACCCCATTCCGCCTCACCCCATTCCGCCCCACCCCCTTCCGCCCCACCCCATCCCGCCCCACCCCCTTCCGCCCCACCCCATTCCGCCCCACCCCCTTCCGCCCCACCCCATTCCGCGCAATCCCCCTTGTCGCGCACCCTCACTTCCCTCCGTCCTGGATGATCACTCCTTCCCGTCGCCCGCGCGCACTTTCCTCGAACGAGCACGCACACTCCCTTCCCGTCGGCCACGCTCACTCCCTTTCCATCGCCTTCGCGCAATCCTTCCGTCTCCTCATCTCCTCCTCTCCCCGTCCCCTCCTCACTTTATCTCATCTTCTCCCCTTCCCCCCCTCACCCCATCTCCTCCTCACCCCATTCCGCCTCACCCCATTCCGCCTCCCGTCCTCTCCCCATCCCCTTTTTCTTACTACCCCTCCTCTCCCTGTCTCTCCTCTCCCCATCCCTCCTCTCCCCATCCCTCCTCTTACCATTCCTCCTCTCCCCATCCGTCCTCTTACCATTCCTCCTCTCCCCATCCGTCCTCTCCCCATCCGTCCCCTCCCCATCCGATCATCTCCCCATCCGGTCCTCTCCCCCTCTCCTTTAAGTGTTTCCCACACTGTCCTCGGCCTTGCGGCACCTCCCCATCCCGTGTGCTTTGCTGCACCGGGGAGCTGCCTGCACCTTCCTGTTTGCTCCGCACTTTACCTCTCCCTCCCCTCCCCCAATCGCTCTGCGCGGCCTCATTGCAGGGACTCCTCGCAGGGAAAGAAGGGGAAAGAGAGGAGAGTGAGGCGGAGTAGGGGAAGAATATGATTTGATGGTGAAAAGAGAGTGCAGGAGGGAGGGTGTGGGTTAGGCCGCCTGCGTCTTCCTCCTTTTGTCTCCTCTTCTGCCGTCCACACCTCCTAACATCCTCTGCTACATCTCTCTAGCTGCAACTTCGCGAGCTACACCTGGCCATGTACGTCACCCCTGTATCGCCCCATACCCTCCCAATTGTTTTTTCCCATCCCCCTCCCCATTGTCTCCCCTCTAAACCTTAGATCCTATTAATCCCCATCCCCCTCTCCCCTGTTTCCCCTCTTCCCCGCCCCCATACCTCCTTCTGCAGCCACAATTAGAAGAGCGTGCTACGGCTGCTGCTGTGGCGAGCAGGTGTTGTTGCATATTAGAGTCAGTCACCAGGTGAGCCACACCACACCCTGCTCACTCCTTCCCGTCGCCCACGCCCACAACCACGGTCACTCCCTGAGCTTCGCCCGCGCTCACTCTCTTCCCATCGCCCTCCTCATTCCCTTCCGTCTCCCCCTCCGTTGCCTATGTGCACTCCCCTCGAACGAGCACTCTCAATCCCCTCCCGCCCTGTCCTATCCCCTCACCCCGCCCTGTCCTATCCCCTCACCCCGCCCTGTCCTATCCCCTCACTCCGCCCTGTCCTATCCCCTCACCCCGCCCTGTCCTATCCCCTCACCCCGCCCTGTCCTATCCCCTCACCCCGCCCTGTCCTATCCCCTCACCCCGCCCTGTCCTATCCCAGGCGAGCATGACAGAGGCCCATCCGACCTGCATGGACATGCCGCCTCCCCTTGCTCCTGTTTTCAGCATCTCTAAGGCCCAGACAAGCCACATTGCGTAAGGGACAGCTTGCAGATTCAAAATGGAAACACAAGAGTAGAGCAAAGCTCAATCTTGTCTTTTATCCTACTACTACATGCTTATGTCATGTATATTTACATCTCAAATAAAATATACATTGGTCTCAAAGGTTCACATCTTATCGCCTGATTTGTATACTATTCTACTCTAAAAGGGCTACAAACCCTTGCTCACAGAGGCTACCATAACAGCCGCATGAGCAGCAACTTGAGTACGGCACCAATATTTTGTGATATGCCGTTGGATGTCACAATGAGGGCACACAGTAGCCTCAAATGAAATCAAATCGTTCTTGGTTGCTTCATGCTGCAAGGCAAAGCTCACAATGAGAGGGAAGGTGGGAAGGACTTAGAAACAGGGAAAGGAGGGAACGCAGGTGAGTCACAGGGTGTTGGCGAAAGGGGGGAGAGAGGAGGACAGGGGGGAGAGAGGAGGACAGGGGGAAGAGAGGGGGACAGGGGGGAGAGAGGAGGACAGGGGGGAGAGAGGAGGACAGGGGGAAGAGAGGAGGACAGGGGGAAGAGAGGAGGGCAGGGGGAAGAGAGGAGGGGGAGAGAGGAGGACAGGGGGAAGAGAGGAGGACAAGGGGGAGAGAAGAGGACAGGGGGGAGAGAGGAGGACAGGGGGAAGAGAGGAGGACAGGGGGAAGGGAGGAGGACAGGGGGGAGAGAAGAGGACAGGGGGGAGAGAGGAGGACAGGGGGAAGAGAGGAGGACAGTCTGGCTTGGTGAAGGCAGGAGGAGACCGTAAGAAGAGAGAGGAACAGGGAGAAGAGGGTAGGCGGGAAGGATGCTGTCAGGGGGGGAAACTGAGCGCAATCAAGGGGGGAAAGTGAGCGCAATCAGGGGGGGAAAGTGAGCGCAATCAGGGGGGGAAACTGAGCGCAATCAGGGGAAGAAACTGAGCGCAATCAGGGGGGGTGGAACTGAGCGCAATCAGGAAGAGAAACTGAGCGCAATCAGGGGGGGAAACTGAGCACAATCAGGGGGGGGGAAACTGAGCGCAATCAAGGGGGAAAGTGAGCGCAATCAGGGGGGGAAACTGAGCGCAATCAAGGGGGGAAAGTGAGCGCAATCAGGGGGGGAGAGTGAGCGCAATCAGGGGGGGAAAGTGAGCGCAATCAGGGGGGGAAACTGAGCGCAATCAGGGGGGGGGAAACTGAGCGCAATCAGGAAGAGAAACTGAGCGCAATCAGGGGGGGAAACTGAGCGCAATCAGGGGGGGGAAAGTGAGCGCAATCAAGGGGGGAAAGTGAGCGCAATCAGGGGGGGAAAGTGAGCGCAATCAGGGGGGGAAAGTGAGCGCAATCAGGGGAAGAAACTGAGCGCAATCAGGGGGGGGGGAAACTGAGCGCAATCAGGAAGAGAAACTGAGCGCAATCAGGGGGGGAAACTGAGCGCAATCAGGGGGGGGAAACTGAGCGCAATCAAGGGGGGAAAGTGAGCGCAATCAGGGGGGGAAAGTGAGCGCAATCAGGGGGGGAAACTGAGCGCAATCAAGGGGGGAAAGTGAGCGCAATCAGGGGGGGAAAGTGAGCGCAATCAGGGGAAGAAACTGAGCGCAATCAGGGGGGGGGAAACTGAGCGAAATCAGGAAGAGAAACTGAGCGCAATCAGGGGGGGAAACTGAGCGCAATCAGGGGGGGGAAACTGAGCGCAATCAAGGGGGGAAAGTGAGCGCAATCAGGGGGGGAAAGTGAGCGCAATCAGGGGGGGAAAGTGAGCGCAATCAGGGGAAGAAACTGAGTGCAATCAGGGGGAGGGGGGAACTGAGCGCAATCAGGGGGGGAAACTGAGCGCAATCACGAAGAGAAACTGAGCGCAATCAGGGGGGGAAACTGAGCGCAATCAGGGGGGGAAACTGAGCGCAATCAGGGGGGGAAACTGAGCGCAATCAGGGGGGGAAACTGAGCGCAATCAGGGGAGAAACTAGGGCGGGTTGAAAAACCAGGGCGTCGGCGCGGGAGAGGGGAATGGGCATGGGCGACAGGGAAAGGAAGAGAGGGCGAATAAGATGGAAGCTCGACGAACTGTTGGCCGCGGGAATGAGAGCGATGTTGACGCGGCGACAGGACAGGGAGGAGAGGTCGACTGGGCGAGTGATGGGGAGGAGAAACGAGGGCGACGGGAGGGGGAAAGCAAGGTCGACGGGAGGGGGAAAGCAAAGTCGACGGGAGAGGGAAAGCAAGTCGACTGGAGGGGGAAAACGAGATCGACGAGAGGGGGAAAGCAAGGTCGACGGGCGGAGGAAGCGAGGGCGACGGGCGGCGAGGCGGCGATTGCGACCCGCGAGGCGAGGGTGGTAGGCGGGGAAAGCGAGGGCGGCGGGCGTGGAACGCGAGGGCGGGCGGAGAAAGCGAAGGCGACGGGCGGGGGAAGCGAATCGCTAATTTCTCCCGCTCTGTCCATTTTCTCCGCCCCTTCACAATCGCAGTCAGCGCATACATATCCCTTAGATTGCGTATACGCGCTGCACCTAGTATATGATCGTCCCTAAATTGTGCTCCCTCGATATGCCTGGCTGGTGCGAGCGATGCTTGGATTCTATAAGGGAGTGTCTGAGAATTTAGCTTGTTCTGTCGGCGAAGTTATTTTCTACTCTGCTCCAGCTGTCTGAGGTGGAAAGCAAGTTGCCTGCGAACTTTTGGGTTGCGACGTCTCATATCTGCTCGTTGACTCATGGGAGATTCGCATCATTTTTCGCTCAGTTTTTGTAATTCAGGCTGCGGGTTTTAAGTTTCATCGGATTCTCCTGCATGGAAGGACGCTCAACCAATGGAATAAATGACTATCATACAGACAAACCTTGTAAAGGCAACAAATTGCATCTACTTCCAAATCTTTTGTGTAAAATATGAACTTGAGAGATCTGAACTGGTATTTGTAAGCTGTACTGGGTAGGTTTTATTGAATTCTGGAAAGTATGTCGCCAAAACACCTGCCCTGCACCTGCGCAAGATTCGCCAGATGTCGGTGAGGAATCGCACCCAATGTTCGCCCAAGTTATGGATGGGGGGCTTGAAACAGCCTGGTCATAAGTCTGGCCAGAAGCGAGAAAGCACCCTCAGTAGTCTGCGTCACACAGGACCAGGTCGAGAGATCCCAGTTCTGCTGCACCAGAAACTTCATGTTGTTGAGCCCCACCAGACTGTACTCTGAATCCTCGCCCTTTTCATTCTTAGTTGTTTGCGTAACTCCGTAGTGGTAGCTGCACTTATCAGCGCCTTCCCTCTGGTGAGCATCGAACCAGCCGCTCCGAGCATCAGGATTCGTCGCAACTTCCGCGATCTCGTGAGCGATCGCCGAAACCATCGCGTCGAGCCAGGGCTTTCCGTTGGGCGAAGTCTGCTGCACCCCGCAGCTTGTTGGGCACAATCCGTGATGACCCACGAGCGAATAGGCGACAGGCTTCCAATTGAGAAGATGCATCGCGTGCCACGCGCAAAAGCTTTTGCAAAAGCCAGGAATTTCCACGTTATTGCCGGCGAGAATCAGGTAGATGCCATTGGCATCGTAGGGGAACGGTCTTCCATCACCAATGTTGCTCATGACAACTGTGATACAAGAGGAACGAGAGATTAAGAACGATCATGGGTAGACAACAAGTCCATGTTGGCATATTAAGGGGATAAACGAAAGGAAGTCTTGCTGGGAGAAAAAACACACCTCTCCAGGGAGTTTTGCCGCCTAATCTCTTCCCATGAGACCCGTGGTCGTAGACTACCTGTGCGAGTTTCACCTGGAAGGGCAGGGGGTTGGAGTTTGGGATAAATCCCGCACGTCTTTGTTTGTTTTGCTTTTCCGCAACACCATGCAATTTTTTTGCAACCATGGAACACTGAAAGTGCATCCCACCTGCTGCGCGCATCGATGCGCGCCAGCCTGGTCGTCCTGAAAGTACATTTTCACACACGATTAACATTTTGAAAAAATAAAACCGACATACCTCTGTGCTGACGGTGGTCTTAGACCCGTCAGACGCCTGCGAGTAATATTTCGAAGTCGTCGCCCACCAGTTGCTCACTTTCGGATCCCCGGGTCCCCCCTGCTCATCGGAGCTTCCTAGGCTCAGCGATTGTATGAAATTCTCGATCACATCCTGCCCGATTCCCGCGGGCCAGAAGCCATAGTAGATTAAGTACACGTTCAGCGTCTCGCCGCTCATCACGGGTCCACCGTGGTATTGAATGGGAATGGCGGACGACGCCGTGGCGCCGCCCACCTGCTCGCGCTGTTCCTCCGAGAACTCCCCGCGTCGCTCCTTGTCGAAGATGGATTTCGTTTCAAACATGTGCAGGGGAGGCTGAGAGCCGCTATTGACGACGTCGGTCAGTTTTCGCGCACGGTCGCGGCGCAGCTGTCGCTGTCCAGTGTATACGTCTTGAGCCTGTAGCGTGCGAGCGATGCGCACCGGCCCAGCGGCGAATGCGGGAGGAAGCATTGAGAGGCAGACGAGCATAACCAATACAGCTAGAAACGGGGGATGGATGAATTTTGCCATGGCTGGGAACGGAGTGAAAAAAAAAATGGAAACCCAAACTATTCGATTCCTGTCAGGCCACTATACTGAATATAACGATAATGACCGCAGCTGCTCCAAGACAAGCCCATGATGAGACTGTGGGTGTCTCGTCGCGTCACGTCTGTAGTGCGAAGTCTTGGTGGGGCGCCTAGCAATTTCAGTGTCATCTGTGAATGTATTTGGATACTGCACAGACTACCGTAGTTGTGTACGTGTGCTCAACCAACATCCCGAAATTCCAATCCTCAGGTTGGTTGGTGTTCGAAACATGTTGGGGAATATATTGCACTGACTGTGCGTATGGGGTTTTTTTTTTGCCCGCGGTCAGCTTGCTGACTCAGTCGGTAGCGCTCGGTAGCGCTACCGAGCGCTACCGGCGTCAGAAAGTGGAATTTATTGGCAGATCTCACAGGCTGATGGCGTGTGCAAAGTGCGCAAAAACTCGACGTCGAGCAACGTCGGAGAATTTCCACCCTCGGATTAAAGGTTCCAACCGTCAGGATTCACCGACGTGCCTCGACATCGAGTTTGTGGAGCACTTTGTACACGCCATGAGGTCTCAATTTCTCAAAATGGCCTCGTGAATGTCTGAGCCACATGTTACGCTCCGCACATTGTGTACGTGTAAAGTCCACACAAGTCCTTTCTTCCAGCCACACCGCCATTCAACGCCAACCACATGTCTCACGTGTCTACATGAGTCGCTTTGCGGGGAGCCAACCATGTAGCGCTGGCGTGTAACGTCAGGCATACAATCTGTGTACCCAGTAAAAACAGAATTAGCCCAGAAGGAAACGCGCCACGAAGTCTACAAGGTCTGATGGTGTTCCAAACCTACATACATAAAACATAATAATCCTCCAACCTACAATAAAAGGCGTAACATCTGTTGGAGTAAATCTAAAGGCACTTCAGCATTCCATAAGGCGTAAACTACGCTTAGGTTAAATTTGTCCCGCTCCAACGCGCCTCGAGCGCCACTGCCTCAATGCCCTACTGCCCCACGCGTCGCACGCACCCTGCTGCCCCCCCCCCCCCCCCCCCCCCCCCCCCCCCCACCACGCCCCGCGTGACCTGCTGCCCTGCGCGCCCCGCACGCCCTGCTGCCATACGCGCCCTGTTGCCCCGCGCGCCTTGCTGCCCGCGCGCCCCGCGTGCCCTGCTGCCCAACGCACCACTCGTGCCCTGCTGCCCGTGTGCCCCGCGCACCCTGCTGCCCACGTGCCCCGCGCACCCCGCGCGCCATGCTGCCCTGCGCGCCCCGCGCGTTCTGCTGCCATGCGCACCCCACAGGCCATGCTGCCAGAGCGCCCCGGGCGTCCTACTGCCGCACCCACAACGCCCTTCTGCCTCACGCGCCCCGCGCACCTTGCTGCCCGCGTGCCCCGCGCGCCTTGCTGCCCGCGTGCCCCGCGCGCCCAGCTACTCGCGCGCTGCCCTAGCTGCCCGTGCTCTGCCCTAGCCACCAGCGTGCAGAACCATGAGCACTCTGCCCTAGCTGCCCACGAGCTGCAGCCACCGATGCCCTGCAGCCGCCGCTCATGCCATCGCTGTCACTACAAGCACCCGCTGCCATTGCAGCTGCCACTGCCGCCCTTGCACCGCTGCCCGTCATGGCCAATCTCCCGATCTTAATGGTTGACGCAGACGGATGCCTCTTCAAGACAGGGTTGTGGCTTCTGTGCCTCCGCATGTATCTCTGGCGTTTCATTATAGATAGGGTCTCCCTGCTCGAGCACACGTCGGGGTCCCTTCAGGCCCCAACGACTCCCACTGCGCCTGCTGCTGACGCTGACGAGGATGGGCAGTGGCGGTACCGGACGGACAGCCTTGCCTACATATGGTGGACGGAGCCCAACGCTGTCGCACAGCTTGCCGTCCGAGCTGACCTGTCGTTCGACCAGAGGGCCCACTTTTGTCAGGTGACGTCGGCCCAGACTCTCTATGACGCCGTGGTTAGACACTACTTGTCCCTCTCTCCTGCCACCCAGCCACAGCGATAGCGCTGTCCGTTGTTAGGGGAGCTGCAGCAGCTGGTCGAGGAGGCGAGTATAGGCACCTGTACGTCTGCTCCTACAGGTGGTGCCACTGGTGGAGGCGGAGGTTCTGGGGGTGGACAGCAGCAGCAGAAGCGTCAGCGAGAGACCCTCTTGCCGCAGCAGCTTTGGGAGTGGGTTTCCCAGCAACGCATCCCTGGTAGTGTAGAGGCTACTAATCAAGGTGCATGTGAGCCTGCTAGCACAGGTGCAGCCCCTGCGGAGGCATTGCACACCTTCACGCTTGACTAAGACGCGTCTCGCTGCTTCTTTCGCGACTGCACCACAATCACACCGCTCACTACACGTGTCCCGATCACTCTGGCTGACCCGTCTGGGGGCCAAGTCGTTGCACGTGACTCCACCATTCTCCCGTGCCCGGCGGCCCCTTCCGGCTCACTCACAGGTCCCTACCTTCCCTCGTTCACTACGAACTTGGTGAGTAACGCTGTTCTCCAAAACCAGTTGGTCACTACCACTACTCATGGGGGTGAGCTTGTGGCAATCTGTACGGACTCACGGACTGGCGCCCACCTCGCCACGTTCACTCGGAGACCCGGATCTGGCCTGTACACACTGACCACTGAGTCCGCACATGTAGCTACGTCTAACCAGATAGCTGCGTCTCTCCTCTGGCACCACCGTTTTGGTCACACCTCTCATCTGCGTGGCATGCATTCTCGTCTCCTTGTCTCTGGCCTCCCCAGATCCCTGTCTCTGCTCCCGCGCTCGCCTACACCGCTGTGCCTTCCCTGCGTTGAGGGGCGGCAGCTCATCGCTCCTAACTCCTCCTCTCTTCCTCCTACCACTGCTCCTCCGCAGACTCTCCACATGGACGTGTGGGGCCCCGCCCGCGTCACTGGACAAGGCCGAGAGCGCTACTTTTTGCTGGTCGTTGACGGCTACACCTACTACACCATGGTCTTCCCCTTGCAGAGCAAGGTGGATGTCTGCAGTGTCTTGATCCCTTGGATCCGCACTGTCTGACAACAGCTGAGCGCCCGGTTCCAGCAGGACCTCCATGTCCTGCGAGTGCGCTTTAACCGTGGTGGGTGAGCTTTTCTCCCACCTCCTTGATGACTTTTATCGTGGGGAGGGCATCGCTCAATCGTTCACGCTTCCGGCCTCTCCACAGCATAATGGGATTGCCGAGGGCCACATTGGCGGCTGCTCGCACCTCTATGATCAATACAAATGCTCCCCATTGTCTATGGCCTTTTGCGGTCCGATACGCCGTGCATTAGCTCAACCTCTGGCCCCGTGTCTCCGTGCCAGAGACCTTGCCTACACTGCGCTGGACGGGGGAGGTTGGCGATGCGTCGACGTTTCGAATCTGGGGTTCGCTAGTCCTTGTCCGCGATACCACCACGTCGCGTCCTGTCACGCCTGTCCGTACTCGTCGTGCTCCTCGTGCTCGCCCTCCACCTGTCCCCGGCACTCACACTATGGCACTGCGTCCTTCTTTTGCTCCACAGATTGTTGTCCTGCCTTCAACTCCTCTGTTTTCTCTTCCTACTCCTGCGTCTGACCTGGCTCGTGCTGCTAGTCCTACTGTCACGCGTTACCTGGCCACACTTGTCACAGACCCTTCTTTTGAGTCTACTGCTGCGTCTGCCTTAGTAACTGAGCTCGTTGACTTAGCTGCTATGTGTTGTCTTGAATACTTCGCAAGACTTGTTAGGGAGTCTGAGTCTGTCTGTCCTCTGTTCGTCGGAGGTGAGCTTGCCCCTGGCTGTCACGTTCTTAAGGACAGGCCGTTTGAGCTTGAATGCCTTGCGGGTGCTGTACCTCATCTCACTTCCATGCCGCTTTGCCCTGAAGGAGACCCGGATGCACTAGACATCCCAACCCCGCATGCAGAGGCGATCTCGGGTCAGTACTCCTCTCAGTGAGAGACAGCCATGGATGCGAACATGGCTTCATGGAAGTCCACAGACACCTACGTCGACGTAGTTCCCCCTCCTGGGGCGAACATAGTCGGTGGCATGTGGATTTTCAGGGTGAAGCGGCCGCCAGGTTCTCCGCCTGCCTTCAAGGCGCGTTTACGTTGCACAAGGCTTCAGTCAGCGACAGAGGGTCGACTTCTTCCATACCTTCTCCCCCACCCCGAAGATGACCACTCTTTGGGTGTTACAGCACATTGCGGCATAACGTGATTATGAGCTGCACTCCCTCGACTTCTCGACAGCCTTCTTGCAGGGCAGTCTTCAAGATCTAGCTATGCCGCCCACCTGGCTTCACTGGGTCATTTCTGGAGGGTACCCAGTGGAGCCTCAGGCGGCAAGTCTACGGTCTACGCTAGGCGCCCCGCGAGTGCCACGACATACTGAGGACGACACTTGCGGCTCTTAGGTTTGCTCCGTTGACTGCTGGCCCTTCACTGTTTCTGCGCACCGACCCTTCTCTGCCACTGTTCTACGTCCTGGTGTACGTTGACGACTTGGTTTTTCCTACTGCTATCATTGAGGCAGTGACCCTTGTGAATGCAACATTGCAGAAGAGACACACATGCACTGACCAGGATGAGTTGGGGAGCTATATTGGCTTGCAGATCACCCGGGACAGAGCAACGCGCACCATCACTCTAACTCAGGTCATTCAGCGCTTTCGCTTTTCGTTCTCCTTGCCACAGTCCACTCTTCTAGCTGCAAACCACTCGCTCTCAGCTCCACCTTTGGACGAGTCCGTATAACCGCCTGATCCGTATCCAGAGCTTATGGGTTGCCTCATGTATTTGATGATCTGCACTCGCCCAGACCTCGTGTACCCTCTCAGCATCCTGCCGCGCTTTGTTGCTCCCCGGAGACACCTCCCTAAGCACTACCGGGCTGCACAGAGGGTGCTGCGTTACTTGTACAGTACGGCAGGCATGGGGCTTGTGCTTGGAGGACAGGGTCGAGTTGTGCTCACTAAGGGTGTGTAAAGTCGCCAAACATCCAATTC